AATTCTCTATTTAAAATTTCCCCACATCATCACAAAGAAAATCATGGGGTCACACCTTTTTGCAAAGCGCTATAAATGAGACCGATTAGTGTGGAGGAAATTTAGCAGATCGGTTCTTAACCAGTCCCAAATAGTAATGCGAAAATCGATAAACCTATTAGAAACTGTTATAGAAAAATAACTTTTCTATAAATTTATATATTGATAATTTTGCATAAAGTTGGTTGGTTATTACTGCGAGACTGATTACATCTCTAACTTTCAGGCATATAAATTACTACTAATTTATTTAGTTATATTTTTAATACATTGTAATTAATTATTTGGTATTTTCGTTTTTACATTTTCACTTTTCTCTTAAATTATATTTTACTTTAGTAGCTTTTTATTCTAGTTAGAGGGTGATTTCATACTTCAGTTCTTATTGAAAAGAAATTCTATTTTATTAGTGGATCTTTTTTCTGGTATAACGGACATATGAAACAATTCTTCTATTTAGATGTTTTTAAACCAATTTGAAACTACAGACAATATTTCAATGTCATGGGTTGACCTTATTTATACGAAAACTGATACTATAGCCTGCATTGGTGAAAAAGATAATTACATGATTTTATTTTTAGTGTAATCTATTTAATAAGTTAGACATAAGTAAACAACTGTGGATTAATATAATATCCACTGGAAGTGCACCCGTAAATAGATACGTATTTCATGCGTTAAATTTAATATTGCAATTTTAGTGGTAATATAGATAATTACTTACAACACATAATTTTTGGATCATCATTATCATAGAGTATAGTTGTTAGGCGAAACTGTTTTATAAAAATGACGAAACACAAAGCCTAAACTCAAAAAAGGCGAAAACTGACGAAACTCTGACGAAAGATGAAAGGCGAAATACCTGGCGAAAGACGAAACCCTGGCGAAAAACGAAACCCCTGGTGAAAGACGAAACCTCTGATGAATGGTGAAACCTTAGTGAAGATGAAAAAACTGTTTAATAAAAGGCTGTGTTACAGTAGTTAACCTTCATTAATTACTTATATATTGTTTTTGAAAAATCAAATATAGTTGGTTCTTTAAACTTTGAACGAAGACATCTCGGCAACTACCTAATCAAATTCAATGAATTTTGTTTTTATTTTATTAATTCTATGAATTTGCAAAAAAAATTTATTATCGAAATAATTAGGTGGTTGGTTGTCAAGATATTTTGTTCATATGTTAGCAAACAACTCAAAGCGTCTAAAATAAAAATTTTTTTAAAACTTTGAACAACATACACCTAATAAAATTCAATGAACTTTTTTTTTTTTTTATTGTCATTTTTTAAATCTGTATTATTAGGGCGCCTTAATCAATGGATCAAAAAGTGTCGGGGAATAAATTTTACTTAGCGGAAAATCTTTTTTAGCGGGTCAATTGCGTTTATCATAATAATATGCGTAGTTTATTAAAGTTTATTACGTAATTGAAATATTTTTATTAGTAAAAAATATGAAGAGTTAATCATTTTAATTTACAAACTTTTTACAAAAAAGTATTTTTTTTTTTATACCTGACTTTGAAATTTTTACTATCAATTGAGTTTTCATAGAGATCGCTCAAGTAACTGTTCTTGGCATAACGAATTGTTATTTTATTATCTTTATTAAAAGATTCTATGAAAAATAAAAAATATTAAGAAGTTCAAAAAATACTACTAGCTTTTAATCATGTTATAAATTCAACTATTCTGTCAATAATTCTTCTTTAGATTCAAAAGTCAACATAAACAAGGATTTAAACCTAATAAATTCTGAGTTGACATTTTTTTATATTTAAATTATAACAAGAATTATAGAAGTAGCTGAAGTTGATACCTTACTAGGTTGTGTTCAAATAATAGTAGCATTTGTTCTTTCGTGTTGGACTGTCGCCTTTTTATCTTTTGACAGTAGTATTTGTTAAATAATATAGAGATCAATAAAGAACTGCTCAAGAATTGATTATAATTCCTATGCACTATTACGATTTCTAACAAATAGATTGAGAACGATGCTTGAGAAAACTTCAATTACATCATAATTTCATATTATATTTTTAGCTAAAATTTTACGTAATTATAAAAATGGTTGTGCACTATTGCGATCACTAGCTAATCACATCACAGTTGATGTTTGAGAACACCCTTAGAAGAAAAAAAAAATTTTGATAAGATAATTTCAAGATATCTATGTTCAAAGTTTTAAAAATTCTAATAAGCTTATTTTAATAAATACTTTGAGATGTTTACCATGAGAAATGATTTCTCAATAACTGCCTAATTAATTTCAATTCTTTTGATACTTCTATCTTTGAAATAAATAGAAATTATAAAGTATTATTTTAAAACAAAATCTCTTTACAAACACTTAATAAACTTTTAGATTAGGTAGAAAAATTTGTTTGCAAAGCAAATAATATTAAATTAAACATTTTATATTGCAACTACTACTTCTATTTCTTTCTAACTAAATATTATAATCATGTATTATAGTTCAAAATCATAAAATTTTAAATTTTTTAAAAGATAAAGTTATTGAACTTATTACTCAACAACTTATAGATTTATATTATTTTTTTTTTTTTTTTTTTTTGTAAAATAATACCATAGTAGAAACTTTATTTATAAGTAGAACAAAAGTTTTGTTTTAAAGATTTCAAACTACATTTGTGTTACATGAGTTTAACATTGTTAAACAAAGTATCTAATATGACATTACACTTTTTATTCTCTATTTTAATACTATTTTTAACTATTTCAAATTAAATTTTAGTTTAGAAGAAATTGGAGGAGATCTAAAGTATTAATTATGATATTATAAAGTTGAAGTAATTAGTAAAGAACCTTGTAAAAACTATTTTCTAATTTCAATTTCAAAGTTATTTGTTTGATTAGATGTGATATTGTATTTGTTATTAAGGAAGTTGTTGAATAGGAGAATTTAGTTCATTTGGTTTTAGTAGTAATATTTCAAGCTATTTCCTATTGGTATTAATAAAAGTTTTATAAGAACCAAATATTTAGTTTAGAAGATTATATGATAAGTTAATTAGAAGTAATTCTGTTTGTTTTGAATTAGATTTTTAATATTAGTAATTGTTGTAATTGTGAAAGTTTCAGAAATTGTGTAAAGTATATTGTTATATTGAGGGTTTGAAGAGTTTAAAGTAAATTATAAAAGTATATTTAGAAGTGTAGAGGCTGAAATTGTAGAGATTTTAAATGATATTAGTAAGCTATTAATGATATTAATAAATAATTGATAAAAGTTAGGATTATTTTTTTTTGCAAAGAAGAATATATAAGGTATTTTCATTATTAGAATATTGTATATAGTTTGAAGTAGTAAATAAATAAGAATAATGAATATTAAGATTTTGCATAGTAGGTAGATTGTTTGTAAGGATTTTAATATAAAAAGAATATTTTTGGGTATTGTATCCTAAAAAGTTTAATATTTTAAATATTAAAGCATACTGAATATCAGTGATATTATTAAAGAATTTAAGAGTAGACCAAGTAAAGAGTTCTTGTATTGTAATAGTATTTTAACAAAAGTTTGAATTTTTATTAGTATAAAGTAGTTATTCTAGTTAAAATAAATAGGATAGTTAAAGAGGAGAGTTGAAAATTCTATTATAGGTTTGGAAGTATCTTATTTTGCTAGTATATCAGCTTAATTATAAAGAAAGTTATTAGAATATGAATTAGCTTTGATAAGTTTAAGTAAAATATTTTTGTTTTCTTTGAAGAAGTTGATGATTTGTAAGATATCTCAATTTTTATTTTGAATTGATTTGTAAAAAGAAGAAGATAATAGATTTTTTTTGTTATTAAAGTGACTTCTTTGACTAATTAGATTTTATTGGTTTGTTATTATAGAGCTACTATATAAGTAGTCTCCTAAGATTTTATAGTTACATGATAAGTGTAGAACAAGCTACATATACAATTTTAATTATTGTCTAATTTAAATAGTTTGCTATACAAATAATTAACTATTTGTTAGTTCTATACTATACTGCTATATTTATAACCTGCTTGTGAGTTACCTATTTAAACACTCTAATTATTAACTCTTCCTTCTATTCCAAACTAATATTAATACTATATCTGACTGTTTAAGCTAGCTAACTAGCTTATGGATCTATTTAACATATAACTTAGATCCTCTTAGAATATATTTGCTTAATATATTGTGAGCTACAAAGCTCTAGTTAATCTCAGAAGTAATTTTTACTAGAGTGATTATATGCTTATTTCACAGATTCACCTGAATTGAATATTGTCAATATTTGTATAAACTTAGTTTCTACTATAGTTCTTTACTAGATATAGTCCTCTGAGATTCTAGCTATATGTTTCATGAAGTAGATTCTCTCAATCTTGTTAGCTGCTAAGCCAAGTTGGTATTGCTGCTAATACAAAGTACTAGACTATATTACACAATTGATTTACTTATATCTACTCGATCTACAACTTTTGTACTTAGGTTTTTCATTAGATCAAGTATTAACTAGTATGACTATTGAAATCTGTACTACTTTACTAAACTCAAAATTTCTACTATGCAAATTCTCTGCTCATAGATCCTATCAAGATTTATTCATACAATATAACTTAAATATTATATCATACTTCTAATGTTCAATTAATATTAGTACAATATAATTTACAGGGTTGTAACTTCTAGAAACAAACTGAGTTTGCTATAAGTTAAGTACAAAGGTTCAGATTATTATTTGATAGTAGTATTTGAACTTTAGACCTCTTGTATAGTAGTTTAGCAACCTAACTACTACACTAAGATTACTAGACTTTGAATAATAAATTTTTAATTACAGCTATATTATTTAAGTATATAGAAATTAAAAAGTTATTTGGTATAGTAAAAAGGATAGTAATTATTGATATTAATTCTGTACAAGTAGTATTAGAATAAGGAAAGATAGCTGTATTAAATTTAATAGAAATATTATTTTTATAAATCTATTCTATACTAGTTCTAATATTGGATATTTGTAAGTTTTAAATTAAGATATCTGTATAGAATTCTAGATTATTAGAGTATAAATTTTGAATAAGAAAATGAAGATTAGTTAATTAGTTTTGATAAAGAGGTGAGTTAATAGTTTG